ATTCCTGCTTCCTCACCTTTAAAAATGAGTATATTAATATCTAAAGTTGCTGGGGGAATTAGATGAATAATGTGTGTAAAAGAAAAATAGATGTAGAACACTGGACATAGCAAACCCCAGAGTGTTGAAAATCTGAGAGCTCAGATTGTCCAATGGGGTACAGATATAATGGTGACCTAGAGCCAAAGAGTGCACTACCTAGGGAGCAAAAATGTGGAAGTTCTATTTCCAAGGGTATAAAACTCCTAGAAGATAGAAGGGCAATGCTTGGTGTCCCAGAGATGAGCACTACTCTCAAACTTAGTGATAGGCTTGTTCCTCAGAGCTTTTTCAAAATGGAGCAGACATTCCTCACAGTAGCTATTGCTCTGTTTCCTATCCCACATCATCCATTAACTAACAGCAATCATCGATCCCTCACAGTGTGTAATGCCTATTATTAGCGCGTGCCACTTTCATCTTTTATTTCCCCAGGGTGGTTTTGTTTTTTTTAAGGGGGCGGGGGGGGGAAGTAAACTCTTTTTAAAACATTATCTGAATTTTATCCTTCTGTTTTGGAAACAAGGAGTAGTGTGGGGCATATGCATATCATGAGCTTTGAGATTTAGTGGAAGAAAGTTCAGGGACCAAGGTCTCAGAGATGTCATTGAGTGGCATCCCAGCTGTATGAGGAGCTGTGGCTGTGTCTTCTTAGCTAGAGGAGTTAGGCTATTCTGACTTCTCATTTCCTGAGATTTCAGCAGTATCCTCTCACCTCATTTAACCCTGTCCCATATTTGAACTGTGTGTATGTTTAGTAATGAGCCAGGCAAGTGCATTATTTCCCTATTCCTTTCTCTTTGGTGGTAGGTCTTTATAGCCATGCCAACATATCTAGTCTAAAATTAAAGTTACAATAAGAGAATGGGGAGTGATCATAGAAAAATAAGTGTACTTCTCTGTTGGAAATTCTTTATTGGGAAGAATATAAGAAAATAACCTCAATACCAAAAGCCCATGAGCAAAACCCACTCTATCTTCTTCTTCTAGCTATCAAGATATTTTACCAACTGAACTTCAAAGCCATGAGAGGAATATAACCCTGGCCATTGAAGGGGGTTGGAATATTTTGTCATATTCTTATGGCTGGCTGTTCTATTCTAGAATAGTTTATTTTCCTAAGTCTTAGTTCTACTTACTTACTTAGACCTAACTCATTAGCTCTAGGACTCATATAAATACGGCCTTCCCAATAGGATGGTCAAGGAGCCCAGTCTGCATTAATATTAATATCATCCATCTATGTAACTGAAACATTAAAGAGTGGCCCAGATCAGATCAGCTTTTGGAGAGGTAAAATAGTTAGCCAAATAGTTAGAAGAGATTTATTTTGCTTTGGTCACACAACCAGGCACACTACGGGTCCCACTATTGCCCCCTTAAAAGGTTAATTTGTGACAAGTACCTGGGAGCAGGTGCTTTAATCTCAAGGTCTTCTCTAAGTAACCAGTGTCTTCCTACTCCTAGGTCCCTTTGGTGGTATTCAAAAGAGAAAAAGAAATTGCCAGGAAGCTCGAGTTTGATGGCCTATATATCACTGAACAGCCGTCTGAAGACGACATCAAGGGACAGTGGGACCGCTTGGTAATCAACACACCGTAAGTGTCCCTCCACCTCTACCACAAAGGGGAAAAGGAGTCTCTACTGTGAAAGGAATAATTCTTTCTTGGGGCCAGCAAATGGCATAATGGTTATGTCACTGGACTCCCACGTAGTCTACTGCAGTTCAAGTCTCAGACCCAGTGGCTCAAACTCACACCAGGCCTATGCATGTGTGTGCTCAAGATCCCAAGAGGAGAATGGAGAAGGGATTATGGCATGGCCATCTTCCTGGGGCAGGTGATTTCTCACTTTCTTTCTCAGCCCTGGAAACTGATTAGTATAAACTTTCTTTTGGTTTCTGGGATTTTTCTCCCTTGCCTTTCAGTAAAGTCGCCTATTGTCACTCAAGTAATTGTGTATCTCTAATTGTATATCTCTACATTTAATGGGGGACAGAGGATATTATCAGGTACCAAGACCAGACAGTCCAGTACAATATTACTTAAACTATGATAGTTTTCCTTGTTCGAGTCATACAGAGTCTTTCCAGGGTTTAACCAGACTAGGGGTCTGGGGGTCAAGCTGGTCAGCTTCCCCAGAGTTCCCTATGGCACACCAGTTGACATCAGTCCTATGAAGACCATCTCTGAAGTCTTGTCCTTGAACAAACAGCCTAACGGGTAGTAGACCTTGTGGGGTTTTTTGTTTTGTTTCTAGAGCACATATGTGCTCATTAGAGATAAAGAGGGAGAAGAGAAAGCACCTACCATGGGGTATGATAATGCCACAGTTCCTTCTCTTTCATCTCTCACTCCTTTCAGGATTTTTGGTGTGTGTGTGTGTACGTGTGCACACGTTTCTCAAGCTACTAGATCCGGGACTCAAACTACATGGTCCCCCATGTGGGATCCACTGCATTAACCACCAGGCTACAAAGCCAGCTCAATAATAGACCCTTTTTCAACATAATATTTAAAGGCAGTTGCTGAGCAGATGAAATGTGGCTGGCTGGTTCAGGATGAAAAGACCTATGGAGATATGTCCTTCAGCTGTGTAGTCACATTACACAGGTCTTCCTGGTAGGCACGTGGCACCGTGACAGAAGGAGCACTGATTCTAGAGGCAGGCACATGACATACCAAGTCAGTTCTGTAACCAAATGGTCTGTGAACCTGGACAAAGTCTTCAAGCCTTATAAGCCTCAGTATGAGAGTCCTACCACCTACAGTCCTGGGAAAATTCATGAATGTATGTCAGATGCTTGCCATGTGCATGGTATGTGGTAGGGATCAAGCTGACACTCACTGCTTTTTCCCTAACTGTTCAAAAAAGTCACCACCATTAGCAAATATCATGCTTGTACACCTTTGTGTCACAGAATAAGCAAGAGTTACGAGATAAACTAATGTGGTAAAAAAAAAAAAAAAAGTAAAGGAATTGAGCTAAATGTGTAAACAAAGATGACTTGAAACTCTTACTGTGCCGATTTAAATATGCCCATCTAAAAACAACTCTCACCTCTGGAGGAAGAAAACTGCTTCTTATCCAAAGATGATCAAGCAGAGAGGCAACTCTACAGAGGCGTAACTAAGCATTTTTTTGCCTTAAAAAATAAAAAGTCTGGAGACCAACAGTTGGCATAATGGCTATGTCACTGGACTCCCATGTAGCCGACCATGGTTCGAGTCCCGGACCCGGTGGCTTAAACTCATGCCGGGCACGTGGTGTGTGCGTGTCCAAGATCCCCAGAGGAGAATGGAGGAAAAGGGATTACAGCGTGGGCCATCCCCCCTAGGGGTTGATTTCTCGCTATCTCTCTGTCTCTCTCTTTCTGGTGAGTGCATGCGCCCTATAGCAAAAACCTCTCAAAAAAAAATAATTAGAATAGTGCTTACAGCTTAAAATCCCCTATATTATCCTCCCTGATCATATTAATCTTCAACTAAAACATTGTGTTGTGCACATTTGAGTTTTGTTCTATTGGGGTTTTTTGAAAGTATGTATTGAACAGTCAATGACGTTTTTGTTTTGTTTCACTTTGTTTTGGCTTATATGATATGTGCTTTTGCCAGAGAGAGATGTAAGAAATCACCCGCCGGGGGGAATAGCCACACCTCAATCCCTTCTCCGCATTCACCTCTTGGAAAGTCAGTCATGCATGCACATGTGACCTGCATGATTTTCAAACCACTGGGTCCAGAACTCAAACCACAGTCACCCGTGTGAGATCTAGCTGCCTTAACCTCCACACCATTGGCTGGCCCAGTCGATGTCACTTTTAACTCTTTGATTCCATAACCTATTCAACTTGTTTATGCACGTGTGTCCTTAATCAACTTTTCTTGATCTGCCCCACCTCCCACCACCATGCAGCTACTAGAATAAAAAAATACTCCCTTTACTTTTATACTATAGAGTATTTTACCTTCTGCTAATGAGTGAGGTCACTTCACATCAGTTAAACAGGGATATATGGTATTCGTCTTTCATAGCCTGGCTTATTTCACTTAGCATTATATCTTCTAGGTTCATCTACCTTGTCTCAAGTAACAGAATATTGTTGTCCATTATGGCTGAGTTGTTGGGCATTGGTTATTGGGCACTTATATGATTCCATGTCTTAGCTATTGTGAGCTATAATAAAGATGGATGTGCAGATGTCTCTTCAACAGATTGATTTCCTGTGCTTTGGGTATATAACCAGTAGTGATATTACTGGGTTAAAAAGTAGTCATATTTTAAGATTTTTGAAGAACCTTCACACTGTTTTACACAGTGGCTGTACTAGTTATAGATTCCCACCAATAGCAGAGGAGTGTTCCCTTTTCTCCATAACCTCACCAGTACTTGTTATTCTTTGACATTTTTCATTTTGTTTTGTGGGGTTTTTGTTTGTTTTTATCATAGCCATCTGACTGGGGGTAGGTGATGATTTGCATTTCCCTATGTTGAACATTTTTTTTCATATACTTCTTAGCTGTTTCTACAGCTTCTTTTGAGAGTCATCTGTTCAGACTGATTGCTTATTTTTAGATTAGATTATTAGTCTAATTTATCCACTTTTTGTGAGGGAACCAGTTGAGTTCATTATATTGTCTGGTTATCAATCCATTGTCAGAAGAATAGTTTGCGTATATTTTCTCCCATTCTGTGTTAAGGCTCTTTGTTTTTAAATTTTTTAATTATTATTTTTAAGCATTAAATCATTATACATCATTTGGCTTATAAAGAGAATTTACCCAGCATGAAATACTTCTCAGACTAGTCCAGTTGAGAATTCTATACATGTTGTCATCAACAGATAATAAACCGTTTCTGTGTCCTACAAATGCCATGCCTATTTTTCTCCTGATTTCCTTCTCTGTGCTCTTCTCTTCTCTCCTCCAACCCTGTTCCACACTGTCTTCAGCATCTGTAACTATTTTCACTGTTTTTATGCCCTCCAGTATTTTAATATCTACCATAAAGTGTGAATAGTCGGTATATATTAAGTGAATACATACAGTATCTTTCTTTCGTAGCCTGGCTTACTTCATTCAACAATACATCTTCTATATTCAACCACTTTCTATCAAATGCCAGGATCTTGTTGTGTTTTATGGCTGAATCATATTCCACAGAATATACATGTCACACTTTTTTCAATCCATTCATCTGTTCGTGGACATTTGGGTTGGTTCTTAATGTCTTAGCAGTTATGAATAATGCCTCAATAAACATTGATGTGCAAGCACTTTTCTGACTGAGCATTCTCCTGTCCTTTGGGTAGATACCCAGAAGTGAAATTGCTGGATCAAATGGTAATTCTATTTGTAGATCTTTGAGGAACCTCCATATTGTTTTCCATAGTGGCTGGGGCAATTTTTATTTCCACCAACAGTATAGGAGAGTTTCCCTTTCACCACAACCCAGCCAACACTTACCATTTTTTGTATTTTTAATCTTTGTCATTCTGACAGGGATTAGGTAGTATTTCATTGTGTTTTAATCTGCATCTTCTTTATGATGAGGGATGTAGAACATATGCTCATATGCTGTTCATACATCTTCCTTAGATTTTTGTTCAGCTCATTTTCCCGTCTTTAAATTGGGTTAATCTTTTTTTTTGGGGGGGGGCCTGTTTGAGTTCCCTGTGTATTCTGGTTATCAGTCTCTTATCTGAGGCATAGTTGACAAAATTATTCTTCCACTCTGAAGGTTGTTGATTCACACTAATTACTGTGTCCTTTGTTGTGCAAGAATTTCTTAATCTGATATAGTCCCACTTGTCTATTTTAGGAATTACTGCCTGGGATTATTGCTTTGGGAGTCTTATTTAAGAAATCGTTGCCTACCCCAATGTCTCCCAGAGTTTCCCGTGTTTTCCACCAGTAGTTTTATAGTTTGAGGTCTTACAGTTAGATCTTTGATCCATTTTGAGTTGATTTTTGTTAATAGCGAAAGATGGGAATTCAGTTTAATCTTTCTGCGGGTGGACACCCAGTTTTTCTAGCATCATTTGTTAAAGAGATTTTCCTTTTCCCACTGGATTGACCAGTATCCTTTGTCAAAAATCAGTTTGCTGTAAGTTTGGGGGATTATTTCTAGGGTCTCTATTCTATTCCATTGGTCCACTTGTCTGTCTGTGCCAATATCACACTGTTTTGATTATCACAGCTCTGTAGTATATTTTTGGGTCAGGGAGTGAGATGCCACACACTCCACTCTTCTTGCGCGGGATTGCTTTGGCAATACAAAGCCTTTTATGATTCTAGACAAATTCTATGGTTGTCTTTTCTAGATCTGTGAAGAATGTCTCTGGTATTTTGATTGGAATTGCATTAAATATGTATATTTATTATATTACTTCTTCAAATCCAGGAACATGGACTGTCTGTCCACTTTTTTGTGTCATTTTCATTATCTTTTTAAAGATTTTCATAATTTCCTTTGTAAACCTTCCTTAGGTTTACCCCTAGGTATCTTACACATTTTGTAGCTATGGTAAAAATGGGATTCCTTTCTTGAGATCTACTTTGTTCAACTTGTTTGTATATAGAAATGTTATAGACTTTTG